ATATATATGTATATATGTATATATATACTTGTATATATTGAGTTTGTGTACATATCTAGTGTGGCACTTACTAGCGGTTTTGATAGAGACAACCTCACAGTTCGACAATCCACTTTCCTGACTACAACGTCCGTATGCGATGTGCAGGATGTGCAGGCATACCCGGAGATCACCACAGACCGATCCTTCGAGTATGTGTGGCATTGTTTATCCGTGCCGTGTCTGGTAGAGCTCGTCGACAGGTGTAGGAAGCAAGCTTTGCCCATACCCTTCGAAGACTCGCTGCGGCTGGTCATGGCGGTGATGAAGGATAGGGAGATCGCGCGGAAGTTTGCGAGTGTGGGCGATGGGTTGGCCGAGAGTGGAAGTACATCTCTGGATGCCACCGATCGAAGAGGTGATGTGCCAGTTAAGACGGGGGATATGTCAGGTGGCGAGAGAACAGGGGTGTGTGGTAGTAAGCCGGGCGACGTGAATCGGGTGCTAGCACTGTACGGTAATACAGTCGCACTCGGTAAACGGATGATCGCCATAGAGAAGCAGCGCACACCAACTAGCACTGAGGTGACCAGCACCGGTGCGACTACTACTCGTGCCACTACTACACCCGAGCACACACGCGCCGGCCCAGACACAGCCCACACCCGGGAACGGTATGTACAGAGCCTGTACTCACTCACCAAGGTGTGTCTGCGGGAGATCGCTGCGAGTAAGGAGCGTGCACGCACCAGCTCCTCGGCCACGAGTGAGCTGCACCCTATGCTGGGCATGACCTCCGTACGCACGGGCAAGGATTGGAAGCCTGTGCTGCACGGTGTGCATGCGCAGGTGAAGCGGGTGTGGGAATCGGCGCACCTGCATGCGATACTTATGGAAGATCTGGGGCGCTGTTGCGAGAGTCCGAGCGCTGCTAACCGCCGTCGCGGTAGTGGTATGTTGAATGGAGGGGAAGCGGGGCTGTCGTAGGGTGTTTGTGTTTGTGCGTGGATTCAGATTGGGATTGGGATTGCATGTTCTTAGGCTGGACAGGTCCAGTGGGATGCTCTTGCGACTGGTAGTAGTCAAGGGAAGCAGTTCATGCATCTCGCCGAAACGGTACTTCGTGCTACCGACAATTGTCTAGTATCAATCTGTTGTTAGCTTGGCCTATGCATTTCGCAATATACATATATAGCCCCCCCCCCCCCTCTCCCACTCATACAATATGCGGGAAAGCGGTAGCATAAATGTCGCTTAGGTGATCCTTTATACTACTGGGAGGATAGTGGTGGCAAGCTGTTCGTATAGTCTAGTACCAATGTGATGGGGAGAGAATACCACACATCTCGCCAACATATGTCACCCACTTCTACATCACGCCAGGCACCAGATCCGAAGCCGGTAAGCTGCTACGTCGGTACAGTAGCAAGCGTAGCAGTGGCGTAGTCACCAGACAAGGATCCTCCGCGAGTGCCGACGAAAGAAGGGAGATGGGGGGCAAGATAATCGACCTGAGCGCCGCACTGCGCGTGTGCAAAGCATGTCAGCTGTTGTATATGCTACCCAGTGTGTTCCCGGATGACAAGCACATGCTGTGGAATAGGATTACCTGTATGCCGGGAGCGGTAAGCATGCGCAATGGCTGATATGCTCTTGTTGTATGTGTATATGCGTATACATGCGTGTACGTATATGGGGGATGGTTATATGCAGGCCAACTCATGCATGCCTGAAACACATATCTGACACATGCGCAGACACAGGTGTGTGACTTGTGACCCTTTGTATGCTATGGCTGTGTTATTAACCGCAATGTTTCTATAGCACATCCGAGCACAAGCTGGTATCATGCGCACGTACATAGCTTACATATAGGGACTTGTCTACACATGCGTAATCTGCTACTGTTACTTCATACAAACATGCACATATACAGCTATCTGGCCTGTACCGGCTACTACTGTCCGTAGGACCCTCAGGGGGCATGGCTGTGTTCTTAACCGCAGCGTGTAACCAGCCATCAGCCGAAGTGATGCTACCCATCTTATTGTTATTCTGCGACTGTTGCACGAATCTGTTGGTGACACTGGACGATACAGATATGCACGAAGAACATAAAGTGCTCACGCTCCTGGATTTCCGATTTCTTGTGCGTTTTTTGATAAGGTATGGAATTTATCGATTGAATATGTGAATCTTAAATTAAACATATAGGTAAACCAATTGGACCGGCATATCTCAAGTAGAAAGTATCGGTATCTTAAATAGATATGTGTACCTTGATCAGAAGGTAAAGCTATATCAATAAGGTATGTGTATCTTATTAGATATGGCTATATCAATAAGGTATGTGTATCTTATTAGATATGGCTATATCAATAAGGTATGTGTAACTTATTAGATATGCCTATATCAACAAGGTATGTGTATCTTGTTGAAAAGGTATGTCTATAGCAAACATATATATGTGTAGCTCAATGACATAGCTACAGGTATATCAATCAGATATGTGTAGCTCAATGACAAAGCTATAGGTATATGATTTAGATATGTGTTTTTAAATGAGAAGGTATGGCTATATCGAATGGATATGTGCATCTCACTGATACTCATGGATTGGAAACCAATCTGTGCATCTTCAATAATTTCATCTGACGTATGCCTTTGCGTGATATGGTGCCAGCGCATTCACACTTGTCGTGCCAATACTTTTCTCTCTCTCGGATTGTATTGTTTAAATGATGTGAACCCGTTTTGGACGCTCCAGTAGCAGCTCTGAGATGTCTTAAAAGAAAGAAAGTCAACCCTAATTTGGATGTGCAACTGGTAGTTAAGTGTGTACAATTCTTCGCCTTCGGCGTATTTTATGAACAGATGAAGCGCTAGTCCACTATGAATTGCTAAATGTGTGCTCAAAACGGACTGCGTATTTCATCGTACATTGTTTGCAGTAAATGATACGTATAAAAATGTTGCTACGTCTTTTTGGCCTGTAATTTCATTTGCAAGCACATCATCGGGGGTATCTGTACGTAGTATTAAAGTTTACATTGAACAAACTGCATATTTTTATCTTGATCTGTCGGCTCATATAAAATGTCATCATCGCTGATCAATGCAACAACTGACGACTACATGTGGTGTAATACCGTATACGTTTACATGTGCTGCAGATTTATATACAATCTCATCATCACACTGTATTAACTGGTGACTGCACATTGAATAGAACCATGAACGCTTCTTTTTGCTGCAGATTTATATACAATCTCATCATAGTCGGGCGGAAGAAGAATCGGTCGGACAAGTGCTACAAGGTATAATTTGTTTGCATGTTTGATTATTTGTTTTGTTTTGTTCATTTGTTAGTTTGTTCATTTGTTTGTTTATTCATTCGTTGATATGTATACACACACACACACACACACACACACTCACACACACACACTCACACACACAC